AAAATTGAAATATTTTGAAAACATTTAATTATAGAATATGGGTTTGACTTTTCAAATTTGACTCTTTATTTTTAAATGTTAATTTAAAGAGTCTTTTGGAACATAATTTTAATGCTTGGCTCTTTAAAATATAAAACATCTTATGTTTAACTAGCATCTTGGAGATGCTCTAAGTATACCCTATATATATTGTTTATTTAAGTGTATAAAACGAAAATGCGAAGTTCGACCCACACTACACCTAGATGGGGGTGAATAGGTGATTACGTGGAATTAAAAACTTACTAATTAAATAACAACAAGTCACTATTAATTATTTCTAGATGATTAATCATACAATTTAGTTTTCTCCTATGTTGAATTACCGCAAATATAAAAGCAATAAATAAACACAGAATTGATCACGGAGAAACCTTAACTGGGTAAAACTCCGGGGCACTTCAACAATCTACTATAAACAATTAAAACTTACAGTCCGCCAGACTCGACTACCACTAGTACTTTTTGACCTCCGACTGCAATTCCAACAGCTCTTCTGGATTTAGCGCTCCTGCACCAACTCCTAGCTACAGTTTCCAAAACTCTCCTAAATTACTTTCTCCTGCAGCAACTCCCAATTTTGTGAAATCGTCTATCTCCTGTGGATTAACGAAAAACACCGCGTTCTTCAACGACTGAAACTTCAGTCACCTTCCCTTGATTTTTAGAACTTCTGGTAAATATGAAGGAAGCAGCAATTTGGTATTTGGATTGTGAATTTGATATTTTTCTCGCCAATAGCTAATCACAGAACGAAGGTTGAAATCAAATGTATGAAGATGATATGAAGGAAATTTGTTTCTCTTAATGTTCAACCTTAGAAAAATCGTTCAGATACGTTTAGATATTTATATGTAGGTCAAGGTATGAAAGGCCAGATAACAAGCCTTTAAAAAACTAATTAAAAATTTCTCGGATAACCCTGTCGTTCGAGCAAGAGCTGGGCGATAGGCGAGCGACAATGTTACTGTTTCTAACGCTCGAGCCAAGTTTTGATGGCGGTCTAGTGAAATTACGGCGCCGTTTTTCCTTCTTGTCCATTCTCGAACCGTAGACCTAAAATAAGACAATTTTCATTAATTGTACATTACTCCTCAACTTTTACAACATATCAATTTTGGTTTATTTTGTTCACAGACTTGCCAATTACATAAAATACCTAACAAACTCCCCATTTGACATTCTGTAATAAAACTACAATCTAAAGTTAAGGCAGTAGTGAAATAAAAACACAGACTCAAAAACTGACACAACCAATAACTGTCTTGATCGAAATCTACTTTTCATTTATCAAAATGTGTTTCCTAAAATAAAAAACTCAAATACCCAGTGTAAAATATATGTGAAACAATACTAAGTGTAAATGTAATTCAAGCAAGTAAATCAAGCAGTACACAGTGTAAAAGTGATTTAAGCA